ACTTATTAGTTGTACAAATATACGTTGATGACATTATTTTTGGTGCAACTAACGATTCTTTGTGTAAGTAGTTCGCTGACTTAATGAGAAGTGAGTTTGAGATGAGCATGATGAGGGAACTCAACTTCTTCCTTGGGCTACAAATCAAACAAACTGACGAAGGAATAATGATTCACAAGCAGAAGTACGTGAAGGATTTATTGAAAAAATACAATCTAGAAAACACAAAGATCAACCACACACCCATGGGAACAACCACAAGGTTGGACGAAGATCCCAAGGGAACTCGTGTGGACCAAACAAAATATAGAGGTATGATTGGTTCTTTGCTATATTTTATTGCAAGTAGTCCTGACATTTTGTTTAGTGTAGGTCTATGTACAAGATTCCAATCTGATCCTAAGGAATTGCATCTCACTACCGTCAAGAGAATTTTAAGATATTTAAAAGGGACGGAAGATATGTGTCTATTTTATCCAAGAAGTGATACATTTGACTTAAGAGGATATGCTAATGCTGACTACGCTGGAGATCTCGTGAATTGCAAGAGCACATCAGGTATGGTTCAATTTTTAGGATCTTGCATGGTTTCTTGGAGTTCCAAGAAACAAAATATTGTCGCTCTATCCACTGCTGAATCGGAATATGTAGCTGTCGCTGCATGTTGTTCCTAACTATTGTAGATAAAGCAACATTTGCGTGATTTTGGCATAATTTTGGACTGTGTTCCCATTTACTGTGACAATACAAGTACAATCTGCATATCTAAGGATCCATTCCATCACTCTAAGGTTAAGCATATTCATGTCCGACATTACTTTTTAAAGGATAATGTGGAAAAAGGCTTAATAAGATTAGATTTTATTTCAACTTAATGTCAAATTGCTGATATCTTAACTAAGCCATTGAGCAGAGATAAATTTGAGAAAATGCGTTTGGAACTGGGAATGCTACGGCTCAAGTGACTTTTGTCTTTGAACCCCTTAAGGTACATCCATTACAATGAACGTAGCTATGCTCACCCTTGTGTGCATAACACAGTTCAAATTACCCAAGGGGAAGGTCTGTAAAAGTATTCAAATTACCAAAAGTCACTTGTGTATATTGTTAATGCATTATGATTAATGAGCCATGTTGTTTCAAGTTCCTATTCTTAACTATATCAAACTCTCTGTATTCAAATCAAGAAAATTACCTCAAGTAATTTTCTAAATATATTTTTAATATTAATTCTTTTCTTATTTTTATCTTTATTTTCGATTGTTATCTTTATCCTTATCAAAATTCATAAAATCACAAACAGATTTTTTTTCTTTGTTAACCGTATGATATGTTATGCTTAACACAACTTATCTTTTTCTCTTTTGCAAATTTATCCTTTTCCACTATCTACCCCACTATCAAAATTACTCTTCCCAACATTCACCTTTTTATTTCTCCTCTTCAATACTCCATCAAAACCATCATCTCACCTCCATAAACCACAACGGTCATCTCTCTCCTCCATAAACCATCCATCTTCTTCATTCATCCCAAAACCATGAAGACAAACCTAAACACTCAACCAAAACCTAGCTCCTCATCCACTCGCAAACCCTCATCGAAACCAATGGAGAAGGAGTCTTCGCCGGAACCAGTTCCGATCTCAATTATTCATCCTCCTTCACCGCCGAAAAGGAAGGAAACCACTACAAGGGATGGAGATAAGAAACGTCATAAGGCACCCTCTGCTCCAAAATGGAATTACTCTCTAGGCTACCATATCAATTATGAATGGTGCGTTGAATGAAAGTTCTCTGAATTCCTCGATTTAGTTGAATGTCAAAATTGGGTATATTTGTTCCACAAATGTTCTAAATCTCCTGTTTATCCCAAATTCCTTTTTGACTTCAAAAAAACTTTTAAGCACAATCATGGAAAGAGAATTCAATTTGATGCCCAGCATTTGGGAACTTTGTTTCAAGTTCCTAACCATGGCCATTGTACGTATATTAAGCATAAACAATCAATTAAAATAGGAAAGTACAATGAATCTCATATCATCAAATTCATAGGGGGAAATCCGAGAGTTGTTACTTCACACCACAAAATTATGTCTCCACTTCACAAATTGCTATTCACCTTTACTTGGAGAGGTATTGTACCTAGGTTGCAAAAACGTAGTACAATTTCCCTTCTTGTTGCAACATTTATCTTTTGCCTTGCTAATAAAATTCAAAATTCCACATTTAATGATAGAACATCTCATCTTTTATGATGCAAAGGCCACAATTCCTTATGGTCCTCTTCTTACTGTCTTGTTTCAATCTTTTGGTGTAAGTGTTGAATCCGAAACCCCCACCTATTTGAAACCCGAAAACATTCTATCAAAAAATTCCTTGCTTAGACTAAGTTAGGAAATATAGTATGGGAAGATTCAATTTATACCCTATACGAAAGATGGAAAAAGGAACACCAAAAATGAGGGAAAAGAGGATAAAGGGAAAGCAACGGTTGAAGAGAGTGCAGGGGATATCTTTGAAAGTGAAGGAGATGTAAAATCCTTTGAGAGTGAGGGAGATGTGGCATCAACAAGCAGTGACTAAAAAAGGGAGGAAACAAAATCTGAGGGGGAAGAGAGCAGTGAGGACTCTATATGAGTGACACAAAAAAAAATCCCTTCTCCTGTTATTAGGAAAGGTACAAGAAAGAGTGTCAGGTTAGTCTCAAAAGGAAAACCAACTGCCCCTTCTTTTCCTTTTAAGCCCATTCATGTTGAGGATACAAGCTCCTCTGAACACACTGCCTCTAATTTTCACACTGCACAAGTTCCCTTAGAATCGAAACCCTCTCCGGTTCCTAAACAGCCTCCTCCTACACAGAGTTTTCCACCTTCACAACCCTTTGGTTTTGCTGCTTTTAGTGGAACAAGTGCACCTATTTTTGATATTCAACAGGTGAAGGCAGATCTTAAAGCACTATCCACAAATGTATGGAAAAATTGGATAAAATGACTCGAATGATGAAGGCTATTAGAGATTAGATACAAGATCATGTGAATAAAATGATTGAGGCGCATGACAATCGAATTGGAGCTACTGAAGCAAGGATGGAAGAGAGTCACAAGGAGATCCTTGAGACCATTCACAAGGTTGCATTTGAGGAAGTGGAAGAGAAGGACGAACCACCTGCATACCCTGCCCCGTAACCTATCATGTTTGATTGCTATTTGAAAATTTTTATTTTAGTTTGCAATATTTTCGTTTCTGTTAAAACACTTTATCTCTTTCTATTATGTTAAGGAACTTGGCTCATTAGGATTAATACTTGATGATATGCATGTTCACTAGTAGAGAAATGCTCATTTGCGTCGCACTTTTAGAGTGTATTTGCGTCAGGTCTAGGTGCGAAGCAAGTGTTCGCGACGCAAATGACTTTTAAGTCATTTGCGTCGCTCATTGGTGCGACGCAAATAACTCTTATTTACGTCGAACTTTTATAAAAGTGCGAAGCAAATGATAATTATTTGTGTTGCTTATTTACAAAAAACGAGTGTTATTTGCGTCGTTTTTTAATAAAAACGCGACGCAAATAGTGTTAAATGGTGAAGCGAATTCTAGTTATTTGCATCGCTTTTTTACAATATTGTGACGTTAATGAATCTTATTTGACAATTCAAAAGCGATTTATTTGCGTTGCTTGTTTGTTTAATGATCAGTGATGCAAATGATATATAAATATATATGATACAAAATAAAAAGTAAGAAGCAATAATAAAGAATTCAAATATAAATTTTGGCGGAGTTTCCTTTGTAATTTGGCCTACCCATAAAATTGGGAATGACGGCAGCATATCAAAAACCTGTCCAATAAATTTACAACTCAATTCCATTGACATTATAGTCATCATTCAACACAACCACCAACACCAACCCAAATTGTTGGTAAACAAAATACATACATTCATGTCAATCCTAACAAATAGAACAAGAGTCTAACAAGTAAATGGAGTTTTGTAAGTGTAGATCTAAAGTTCAACATTGCATACAAAATAGTCTGCCCAAATATCTCGAACCTCGTTTATCTCCTCATTTGTGTACGGTGTAGATTTTGAAAAATCCTAATAGCACAACACAAACAAAAGATCAGTGCAAAAGTTTAATCCAAGTGTAAGTACTTCAAATTGTATTTATTAAGTAAAAATGAAATATTTGACACCTCATACCGTAATAAGGTCCTCACTATTATGATGATATTGCATTATTTCGAACATATAACGCATGACGTAATAGCCACATTCACGTCCACCTAATTGTTGAGGACACTACATACATTATAACAATTAGTTCAATTTAATTGTTATACATAACATTATTAAGAAAGTATATTTTGGGTAAGGAATTAAGTTAAACCTGTCCCAAATGCCATGTCAATTTACTTCCCTTAGATTGTCCACCTAGTGTCTTGTAATTTCGAAAAGCACTACACATTTGAAATAAATAACATATTTGTGCAAATTATATAAAAGCATTAACCTTAAATAAATTCACATGACTCTGTAAACAAACAAACTTACTTTGTCATTGGAAACTTAATTGCCAAATTTCGCTTTTGCCTCATAGAATCAAATATGTAGACCTCACGCTTAGTCATGCATAATACCAGAAGAACCCAATGATTCCTACATAAATTAGACAAAAATTTGTAAATAATTAAGTATTACCAACATTTTTTTGCAATGTTTAAATAGAAAAAAAGTTCTAATTTTATACTTTTCATAGTATGGGCATAAGATGAAGTGCTTTTTTTTTGTTTTTCCATTGCATTTCTCATGTATAGTAGGACACGATCAGCATCACTATGCAAATAGGTCTCATCTCTGGACACATGAATCCAGTGGGAAACACATCGGCCGTATCGAGAGAATAATCACTCAAAGCCCTACATATATATCATGTAATAATATTAGAAATGGTAATAAACTAAAGTTTTTAGGAGGGTTGAAATTTGAATATCTTACATCATAAAAACTTGCAAAATTGAAATATTAAGCCACGCAAGAAATCATTCAAACACCTACACTTTTGAGTCAAGTTTTCCAACACAAAATCCACAAGAAAGGTTTTTTTTGGATTGGTGTTGGATTCTTTTGTTTCGTGACCACTATCAACCTCTTTTCTTTTGACTTGCACATTTTCTTTGGTCATTTCTCTATTGCCATCACTCTTGTTTGGGATGATTTCCTAATTAACAGTTAAGCAGATACATTTAAAAATTTGACTATATTTTTCAACTTCAAAATTATGTAATAATTGTTATAAATATAATTTACCTTATCATGCAGAAGGGAAACCAAGTGTTTCGGCCATTGTGTAAAAGTACCATTAGCATTCTTGAGTTTCTTTATGAATGCAGAAGGAACTGGGACTGGAACTTCTTTGAACTTATCATAATAATCATCAACACTTATCCTCACATGATCAGGTAGGAGGCTACTATGATGATCAAGGGTTAACTCTGGATAAAATGTACCTTCAGCAACAATGACTTTCTCAGAGTCAATCATCAACGATAGCTTACATGCAACCGGTTCCTTGTAGATAACCCACAAAATTATATCAAATACATGTTACGAAGTAGTAAACATTATAATGGAATTATGCCATAACAAAAATCAAATAAAGATTTTAAGATACCTGTATGTTTGCAAATGGATCTTGTATGTTTGCAAGTGGAGCATCACCACCACCTGAGTGACAACTACTACGATTTTGTGGAGTAGCCTGGCCTATGCTATTCAATTCCATTAATTTAGTTGGAATTTGAATACCCATCTCTTTAGCCAAAAACATAAACTTCTCTTGAACCATGAAATCCACTTTGGACTGCATCTCCTGTACAGTCTCATCTCGCACCCTTTGGGTTACTCTTACCTCTAATTCCTCCAACTCAACATCTCCAATTTGCGTACCACGTCGGCCACTACGCCGCTCTCCAGATCCCCATACAACTTTAATGCCAACTCCACTGCCAAATGCTATTGCCCGACCATAACAATCTTTTCTTCCAAGGGCACCGGCCAAGACATCATCATTCCTATTAGGAACAAATTTCCCTTCAGCTTGTTGCTTTTTCCAATCATCCTATACAAAAGCATAAAGTTAGTATGATTTTGTTGCAATATATGTACTTAAGAAAATAGATTCAACATCGAAATAAAGACTTTTCTATACACTTACAATGGATTCTTTCACTTCTTTTGTTTTCTGATCAAGCAAATAATGATTTCCCTTATCATCTTCTATTGATCTTGCTAAAAGCCAAGCATATGTCCTATCCGGCAAACTAGACACAACCGAAGAGCAAGATGAAGTAATAGATGATGAAGGAATATACCCTTTTCTTTTCCATACAATATCCATTTCACCATATGACTTGGCTCCTAAATGATGCGGGTATTGGTTGAAAGACTGGCTCTTTCTTGCCTTCTCACTTCTTTCCTATTTTAGAATCAAAAAAGGAACATTGTTAACATGCATCTTTATGACTTATAGTGACGTATATATATACATTTACACACCTTGAATTCATCCGTGCTATGCTCCTTTACAAAACTATTCCACACATCTGGAGTTATGAAATCATAAATTTCATAAGGTATTCTTTTGTCATCCGGCATTTTCTTAGTACAAGTGATCCAACCGCTAACCAATTTTGCTTTAAAATCTTTCCATCGCTGATCACAAGTGTGTAGGACCTTCTTCTTCTTTTTTTCATCTTCTTCGATATGAAACTCTCTCTAAATAATAAAACATTGCATTATTAATTGGTAAAACATTATCGATATCAAACAAAATCTTCCCACAAAGTGTCTTTTATTCCTTGTGGAACTTCTTATACATTAAATAAGAAATAAGAAATAATAATACCTTAGCATCTTCCCACAAAGTGTCTTTTATTCCTTGTGGAACTTCTTTCCAATCTTTAATCAATATAGACACCTTTGCACGACTTATTTCACCAACATGAGTTTTGTATTCTGTTACCCACTTTCCAATTGGCCGATAGAATTCATCCCATTCAAGCACTCTAGGAACCCCACTCTTCGATTTAAGGCCCTTTGAAGGACCTTTTGGCTTCTTTTTCTTCTTCTGAGAATCAAGCTTTGATGGTGATTGATTGTGTGGCTCATTTTCAACATTTTGCATATCCTCATCCTCCATTATTATTTATCTGCAATGTAGTAAACATTAAAAAAGAAATTATAAACATGTACATGTTAAAAAAATTCCATATTTCATACTTCATTCTTAATTTAGTAACATATTGTAACAAATAAATTAGTAACACATTGTAAGAAAAAACAATAACACAAAATTCCAGATTTCATACTTACTTAATTCTTCTCTTTTGCAACATAATATCCTTCATCATGATCTACACGTTTCAAAGTTGTGTCAAAATCATCAACTATTGGAGGGATGCTCCAAACAGAAGGTGGTGACTCATTAAATTGCTCATCATATTCTTCCTCATCAACCACATCTTCAATGCCAAGTATCCTTCTTTTTCCTTCTTAAACAACTGACCATTTACGATTAGCTGGGTCAGCCATGTAAAACACTTGTTTTGCTTGTGATGCTAATATAAATGGATCAGCTAGATGCCCTGGTCGACCAAAATTTACAAGGGTCAAGTTCCCTTGTTCATCTTTTTTTACACCACGACTAATATCAGCCCACTTACATCGGAATAGAGGCATCTTGAAATCAACATAGTCTAACTCTATTATTTCTTCAATTACTCCATAATAAAATTTCTTCCTATCCACTAGTGTTTTATCATGTTTACTAACAAATTCAGATGACAAACCTATTACTTTAACACCACTATTTTGCATTGTTGTTTTGTCATCTTGTCGACTAGTGTAAAAAGAATATCCATTGATGTCGTATCCCTCATACGAAATGACTTGACATTTAGAACCATATGCTAACCATCTCAATGTGTCAGATACATCATTAGGTGTGGTGGACAATTGAGACATCACTCGATCCTTGAACCATGTAAGGAATGAACAATTATGCTCCTTTATCAGCTGAAGATCAGTTTTGGAAGGGTATTCATTTTTAAGAAAAATCATGTGCTCATTCAAGTAAGGATGAACTTCACTAAGACTTTGCAAAACAAACAGCTCAGCCTTATTTTTCATATCACAGCCCATTGAAAACCTTTTTCTACCAACAATACCTTCACCTCCGAGCCTCCCATCATGTCGAGACTGTGGCAACCTAATTTTTTGTGCACTTGCAAGAAACTGAGCAACCCATGCTACCACTTCCTCAGCTGTTGTTCGTTGGACAATACTGGCTTCAGGTTTGGCCGGATTCATGACTTTTCCCTTTAAATCACCCATTAGTCGCTCAAAAGGATACATGTACCTCATACAAACGGGTCCAAAAAGTTTAATTTCCCGTACAAGATGAATAACCAAATGGGGCATCACGTCAAAGAAAGATGGGGGGAAATACATTTCAAATCGACACATTGTCTCAATTATATCTGCTTGCAAGTCATCTAATATACATGGATTTATGACCTTGCTACAAATTGTGTTAAAAAAGACACACAATCTTGTAATCGTATACCTCACTTGATCCGGCAAAATTCCTCGAATTGCAACTGGTAATAAGTGTTGCATCAAGATGTGATAATCATGAGATTTCATGCCAACCAATTTCAAGTCAGACATCGACACAAGTCTACGAAAATTTGAAGAATATCCCGCCCGGGACCTTTAAACCATGCAATGACTCACAGAAGCTTGTTTTTTCCTTTTTAGACAAGGTAAAACAAGCTGGGGGAAGATACCATCGTGTTCCTCGAGATTCGGGTGCCAACTCTGAACGACCCATAGCAGCCATGTCTTTTCTAACCTTAACTCCACCCTTTGCTTTCCTGGCATATTCAATAATGTTCCCACAATGGCATCACAAACATTTTTCTCAATATGCATTACATCTAGACAATGTCTAACTTCCAAATGTCTCCAGTATGGGAGAGACCATAGCTCGGACTTCTTCTTATAGCCCCCTTTTGATTTACTTTTGTAAGGCTTACCAAACTCATTTTCAATGTCTTTCACTCGCATATAAACCTCACTTGCACGTAAAGGGCCCCGAACTTCTCTCATCTCCACTTTTCCATTGAAACCCCTCTTATTCTTCCGAAAAGGGTGGTCTTCAGGAAGATGTCTACGATTATCAATGTATACGTGCTTGCCACAATTGTCTAGGCGCAATGCCTCCAAATCATCTTCACAAATGGGGCAAGGTTTTGTTCCCTTCACGGTGTACCCTGACAAATTCCCATAAGCTGGGAAATCGTTTATTGTACAAAAAATCATGGCACGTAAAGTGAAATTGGTTTTACTATATGCATCATACATCGAGACACCTTCATTCCACAACAATTTCAAATCTTCAATGAGAGGCGCTAGATACACATCAATGTCATTCCCAGGTTGTTTAGGCCCAGATATTAAAAGGGACAACATAATGTATCTAGACTTCATGCATAACCAAGGAGGCAAATTGTAGATAGTTAGAAGAACCGGCCAAGTGCTATATTGGGTACTAAGTGTCCCAAATGGGTTCATTCCATCTGTACAAAGACCAAGCCTCAGATTTCGATCTTCTTGACCAATGAATCAGTTGGATGTCTCATTAACCCATCTTTCTTCCTCCCATCAACATGCCATCTCAATAATTTTGCATTTTTTCATATGAGAAAAGTCACCTAAATCTCGATATAATTGGAAGATACCACAATGCCTTAGCTGGAGTTCGTTTCTTACACAACTCACCATCATCATTCATCTTATAACGAGAAACTCCACACCTTGGACACTCATGCAAATCAACATGCTCATTTCGATACAACATACAATCATTAGGACATGCATGTATCTTCACGTACTCCATACCAAGAGGGCACATAAGTTTCTTAGCCTCATATGTGGAGTTTGGAAGTTCATTCCCTTCTGGTAACATTTCTACTAAGGCTTCCAAAATCTGAGTAAAACTCTTGTCGGTCAAAGAATTGCTCGCATTTATGTTGAATAGCTTCATAATGCCACTAAGTTGTGTGAATTTTGTACAACCAGGATATAACGATGTCTCTGCAGCTCTCAAGATATTGTCATATATATGGGGATCATCTATGAAATGGTCTTCTACATCATGCATCATCTCAGTAATCCTATCCTTCTCCACTTCATCCTCAGTTCAACAACAATATCAGCAGCATCCATATCCTCACGCTGGTCTTCATTATCGCCATCACAACTACTCTCATCTTCCCTTGCAAAATAACTAGAATTTGCCTCATGACCTATGTTCTCACCATGCCATGTCCATCTTGTGTAGTTTTATTTGAACCCACGACAGATTAGATGATCCTTAATATCATCTATATCACGATACCCCCTTGAATTATTGCAGTCACAACAAAGACAAAGAATAATCTTTGATTTATTCTCTGTTTGGTATTTTAAGGCAACACTACTAAACTCCTCAATTCCACTTAGAAATCTTGTAGAATTTCGTTTAGCATACATCCAACTTCGATCCATTTTCACCCACTGTATAATGAAAATTAATTTTAAGATAATTGCTATATTTTCTAGCATACATAATTCCTTAACAATGAACAAGATTATAAGGCATATAACATTTTCATTCAAAGTTTATCTCATGTAAATGCAATGACATGATCCAATCAGGTCCTTATCACTCCAACCTAACCAATTCTTAAATGTCCTATCTCATTAGTAACTACTTGGTAAAGCTTTGGTTCTAAAGAAAATCCGGCAGCATTTCCTTATAGTTCTCCAAGCACACAATGTAGATAATCGAGTATCGACATATGTACCCATAGAACAATCGAAAAATAGTGTGGGATGATTTTCTTAGATCCAAAAACACTTCAAGTAGTTACAACCTAAATGAGATAGAACATTCAAGAACAGTCCCAAACCGGGGACTATTCAGAACTTACTCCTAATGAGTAAACCCTAAACGGGTATCTAAGCCAATGATGCAAACAATACCCAATTCAATTCTAAACCAACAACTTCCTAATTCACTTAAAATTCAAAAACAATACCCAATTCAGAAAACATACAGAGTTTGTAGCTCAAATAGTTGCCGGATATCACCTGACATTACGCCCTTCAGCCCAATGCTTGATAAAGTTCTGAGAAACAACTTTCAAAATAAAATCAAGAAATGTATTAAGGATGGTTGTGGCTGTCTCTAAATGTGATGCAGATCTGACTTACATCGAATCACTTGGGTATTATTGCAGGCAATTCCTTCCCAGCGATCACCACAAGGATCACGAAAACCATTCCAAGATGGTGGCACATTCTCCCAAATTGCTTTGAGGGATAATAATCCAGTAACTGCATGAGTGCATAATGAGCAACCAAATTCAATTTAGGGCTACAAATCTTTAAATGGATGGATTTAATTTCATCATTGCTGAACTACAAGGGAAAGAAGGTGGTCCAATATGTTAAGACATAGGAGATGGCATGCACACAACAGATAAAGAGAGGGAAAGGATTAAATAAAATGCAATAAAAATACAGTCTATATCTAGAAGGCTTCATTCACTTTTCATGTTTTAGTTGTCCTTGCCTTAAATCAGTTTTAGTTGTTCTTTCTTCACTTTCTTGGATGTTGGTACAGAAGGCCAGAAGTGAATCAACATTCACCTTCAATACTTAAAAATCTAAACTGAGCATTCTCTTTTAAGTGCTGAATTTGCTCATGTGAGCAACTTTTCATAATAATTCTACTGAAGATTGGTGACATTTTGTCCTTTTAATGGCCAGGGCACAACATATAAAAGCAACACCTTGTGTTATCCCATGCGAAGATAAAATCAGCAAGACAAAAGAATATAATGTTCTAAACAAAGATGTGGCATGCGAGAGAATTTTGGACATGGTATGCTTGCTTAATTGTTTGTTTGTATATGCTCAACTGGTTTGCTCTACCCTGAGGGGATAAAAATCATGTTTGCTCAGGAATATTTGTTTCTTCCTGTTATAGCTGAAAGACAGAATGAGCATTGAGGAATTGGAGATGCTAAGAGAGCTGCTAATCTTAGAGGGAATTACGTACCGCCCGAGTTCAATGGAAGACTTGATATCGGAATGTGAAACTGTCAGGTCAACTCTTATGTATAGAAGACCCTCCCTTTGTCCAACACTATGTGCCCACTCCATAATCTCTGACAGGAAAACATTGTTCAACAAAGACAAAACAATACCCAATTTCAATTCTCCCCAGTTCCAAGCTAATTAAATTTGGCCCCAAAAAAACCTAAATTCTGAAGCAAAGATTGAACAAAACAAAAATAACAATCAATTTAAAAACGGAAAAATTGCTCGAATTCAATAAAAAAAACGGAAAATAACAATAAAAAAACCTAAATTCACGAATTCGCTGCGCAAGTTTAGGGTTCGTTACCTGTGCGTTTATGCTCGAAATTGTTGCTCGAAAATTCTTCTTATGCTGCTGCTGGGAACGAATGAAGGAGGTAGCTTAATTACCTTCGAATTTTTGCTCTAATTCGTGCCTTACGCTGCTGCTGGGAACGAAGGAAGGAGGTACTTAGAAAGATTTTGGGAAAACGAGGGAAAGTTAGAAAGGTTTTTTATTTTTGTTTTCAGTTTTGGAATTACACTATAGAAACGAAAATTATTCACAAAATCATTTGCGTTACTTGTTTCTAAAAGAGAGACGCAAATGACATTGTTATTTGCGTCGCTCTTTAAGTAATAAGTGACACAAATAACCTATATCAGTGTTCTGCGTCGCACTTTTAATAAATAAGCGACGCAAATAACTTAAACTGAACTTAAATAACTTAAACCTATATCATTTGCTTCGTTTGTTTCTACAAGCGACGCAAATGAGGCGACGCAAATGAGAATTTCTCTACTAGTGGTTGTTGCTTGCTTGGTATATAACTTGCCTTTACTTTGCTATATTTGAGCTTACTACCCCCTACGTAGCATAGTGGGAGTGTAGCAAACTGTTATTTTGATAATGCCATAAGGGGGAAAAAGACAAACTTCATGGAAGGCTCAAAGTATTACCAGGCTAAATATGCTAAACATGAGGTATATTTCGTTTGTTTTGCTAAGAGTTTAAGTTCCCTGTTTTTTAATTTTCGTATGTCTAAGTCTTTTAGTATTTTGTTTATTTTAAAGTCTTTAGTCTATTTTTAAGTGGTCAAATATCAACTTAAGGATTACACACTTGGTTGAATTGGGACTCACTAAATTAATTTAAGTCTCTGTGTCGTATATGCTTGTTTTAATTTTCTGTTTTTAAAGTTTTTATTTGCATGCTTGGACAATATTTATTTACCCAATTTGAGTCCGTGTTTGTGATCATCAAAAAGGGGGAATATTGTTGACCCTTATGGTTTTGATGAACAAACTGACAAACTCGACTAATGTATGTTTTAAGTCTTTGGTAAATGAAAGGTTCATGCAACAAGGATCGTTCCGGAGTAGGAACACAAATCAGGAATGCGGAGTAGCGTTCATACAAGTACAACGTGCAAACCCATAATCTAGATTATTTGTAGGTACTTAGAATATAAGTTGGCTTTTGGAACTCACTGAGGCACGTTATTATAAAAGTGAAAATTAATAACTTTCAATTGGAATATAAAACTGGTTTTGTAGGAATGTAATAAATAAAGTTTTAATAAGATTGTTTAATAGTAAAAGGATATTTTATATTATTGTTTTATAAATAAATTAATCAAATTAATTTATTTATTAAATTATCTTTTGAAACAAAAATATCTTTTTGAATAAATAAATATTATCCTTTTTAAACAAAAACATCTTGTTGAATAAATCAAACCTACCGTTTTTATCATACACTTCATTCGGTTTTTTCATGGCTAAATTATAGGAGGTTTTGTTGAGGTTGTTGTGGATTGGTGAGCAAGCAAAGGAAGACACCCATGTCCTCCACTTGTCACTTGTTCTCCACTACTTGGAGACATGTGTACGTGGGAGTTATGGGAGGTGTCTAGTGACTTTGCTTCCTCTATAAATACATGCAATCTATCTCAGCAAGTACAACAATTCTTGAGAATTATTATTCTAGTGAGCAATTTATCTAATAGCGTGAGAGAGTTCCTAAATACTTCTTATATTCTCTTGTACAATAGGTCTTGTTTTACTTACTGTAATTGGGACTTGGGGTATTTGTGAGAGTTGTAACTGTGAGGTAAAGGAATTTTTAGAGTCGAAACTTCTGAGACAGTTGGGAACAAGTTTCGTTCTTGTGGAACTTGGTCTGGGTTGATTATTCACTTTGTAAAAGAGTTTGATTTACTTAGTGAAAATTTCGAAAAGCCCATGTCATTGCTCTCTATTGTTTTACATTGTCTTAATTCCGCAAAAAGTTTACTATTTCACCCATTCTACAATTCACCCCCCCCCCCTCTTGTAGTAGCTATCTAGAATTACAATAATAATTTTACACTACACATGTTTGTACTTTTCTTAACTAAAGTTTAGGGATGGGCAATATATATGAACACGAAGGCGGTGTGAAACAT